CTGAGGTTTAGCTGTAGGAATCACTGAGAAGGAACTTAACTTACCATGTCTCTCTATAAACATTTTGAAAAGTATGTGCAAGGTCCTCACTTACACTGGTGTAAATCAGTCTGTACAACATGTAAAATACAAGGGAAACCTTTGACTGATGAGAAATCTCACACTTTGCATCATGAGCATCCTAACCCCACTCCTCCCTAAGCCAGCCTAGTGCTGTGCTCCCTAGGACATGAGAAAACCTTTTTCTAAGAAGCAGGAAAAGACACAAACCACTTTTGTGTAACAAATGCCCTTCTGGTGCACTCAGCTAAGACACCGGTCCCCAGGCACCCCTGTTCCCTTCCCAGGGTTTGCTCCAAACCTTAATTTTGCTCTGTGATTCCTGATGGCACCCGGGGTACACGTTTGGGGACCTCCCTGAGCCAGACATGTCACAGGCCATTCGGTGACACAACAGGATGTTCCTTTCCAGCTATTTTCTGAGCGACTCTCACGGACCAGGTGGGTTGCTGGATCCTCCAACCTGCGTCAAGCCCCACTTGTGTTTGCACTAAACAGCCGGTGGAGACAGCAGACTTGCTCCTTTCCTTCTAGAGAGGGACATTTGTTATTCAGAGCAAAATATTATGTTGCCGTGTTAATTAATCAAGTCAAAATTCATAGGTAGCATCTGTGCAAAAGATAAAATGTTTTGGGACAGTTTAGTCCTTTTCTTATCTGAATGATTACGGTTACATAAAGACTTCTCTTTCAAACACAGAGATGGAGTTTCATAAGCAAGGGACCAAAACAGGACCATCTCCCCTTGATCACACTGGATTAGTACAATTAATCTGTAGGTATTAGTGACCAGCAGGGTTTTGTCTGGATGATATAATATATATTTATTATTTCATATCTCATTACCCTCAAGAGGCAGACAATTAAATTGTGGGCTTTTCTTTTCATCGTTGTATATTTGCAAATGGGGCCGTGGGATTTAGAAAATCACCGAGGAGTTCCTGATCAGAAGGAAGACAGTCAGCAAAGAGGGGAGTGAGATCTCTGCTCATTTTTTATGTCTTTTGAGAATGATGCAGTTGGGAATTACCTGCTGGATGAGCACAAACTAGTGTGGGACCTCAGCCAGGACCTGCTGGGGGTACGGGGAGGGTAGTGAACATCCACCAGTATAACCAGCCCTAAAGGCACTGTCCAGGCACACCTATTGCCATCTAACACTGGAAAAAAACAAAGCTCAGAAATATGGAATTATTTACTGAGGAAAGATCAGGAATTCTTATTCTTAGGCTCCTGTTGAGTTGCTGTAACAACATATCTCATATAAATACCCTTCTCATTAACTTGAAACCTTGAAAAAAGAGCAGTCTTGCTCTTTTCCTGAATTGCAAACAAAAAAAAAAATTCCCTGACAAGCTTTCTTTGCTTTGGATTTTGGGGAAGAGGTGCTGAGAGCTTCTTGCTTTTCTTGCTGCAAAGCAGCTGCATTTCTCATCAATTTATAAATGAAGATGTAGAGGCTTGGTCTAAAAGCAGTGCCTGTTTAACCTGATTATAGATCAATTGGCTTAAAAGCTGGACTCTGTCAGTTAAAGGTTGGCATAGATGGATTTACCTTGTGTGGGTTGATTTGTGTGCTGATCGCTGGGAAAACAACAAATTACGACATTGGTTCTTCCCATACCTCCAAGTCTTCACAGACCTGACAGGAGCCACCAGAAGGTACAAAGGAAAGAGAGGAAGAACCACGCAAATACACATTGATCTTTCCTCCAAGTGCTTCTTTTGAAGCTGTCACCTGCCAGCTTTATTCATTATTATTAGGGATGACCCTAAATACTGTTTAAATCCAGAGCCAGAGTCCCGGCAATGCAAGCCAAGATACTACTTACAAAGGACCAATGGGCTTTGCCAGTGCTTTTCAATTTTTGCAGCTTTATGAAATGAATGAGCAGTGTTCTCCCATCCCTTTGCAGGGGAGATGGCTGCAGATTACAGCAGAAAGTGAAGCGTTACGTGATCCGCTCAGATAGGAACATGGAAACGAGTGTGGCAGAGCAATGCTGAGTTAGAATGAAGTTCCGCAGCCCCTGCTTATGAATACTTAACTCTGCCTATCTGGCGCAGAAGGTGAATTGCAGGTCACAACAAAGATACAAATCAAAAAAGGTTTAAGCTGAATTTCCAAAGTACATCTGTTGGCGTTGTCTTTGTTAGGACAAACCCGTCTACCTTCAGGTTTGTTGTGTGTTTTTTCTCCTCAGGGCTATTTTTGCACGGTACAGGCTAGGCAGAGTTCATGCTGCTCCCTCCCCAGCATCCCCATCCATCAACAGAGCAAAAACAGTGGTTTTACGATGTCTGTTTGCAAAGTCCGCTCCAAACTGAGCAAAACTCATGCCCCAGACTCTGCAGATCACGGAGGCGGCCTGGGAAGCTACAGCCATCCGTGCTATAAATCATTGCATTTAATTGGATAAATCCCTCCCTAACTCCATAAACTCATGGCAGGGGGATGAAACTCTTACACCCCAGCTATGCACTCTCTTGAAGACAAACTATGAATTACATTTCTAAGACTTTAAGATTGCCATCTCGCATTAAAATGTAGGCTGCAACAGAATTTTCAGCCATTGACTTAACAAACAGCGTTAGAGTAACACAGGGCTGGAGGTCCGGGGCTGCAGCACAACTGAAACACTCGGAAGATGTAAAAAATAAAACACCCAGTTTCAGCGTCTTAAATACCTTCCTTGTCCTCGCTATTTTCTGCCTGACAGCACCCTCTTCTGGGAAGAGGTGCTGATGGCTGAAGGGTGCACTCCGCTCAGCTCTCATCGGCTCCCTCTGGAAGCAGTTTGAGGATCGTTGCACGGTCAAATCGCTGCTTTGTATTGCTGGAGCAGTGGGTAAAACTGCACCATTCCTGGCGAGAACTGCCTTAAAATTCGTAATCAAGTCTGTCCTCAGCTGGATCCTCAAGCACATCCCAGCTTTTTTATTTGTTTGCTTGAAACACAGGTGAGCAAGCACCTTCCTGCAAATCACACACATCTCAGGACATGAACAGGCGCGTTCGACTGGCTGCAACTCATAGCGACACGGGCTGCGAGCTGAGGAGGGGATGAGCAGCACTGCTGGGACAACTGTCAGTACCCCAGGTCCCACCTCCTCCAAAATCCTCCTCTGCGATGGCAGGAGCACCTTGCCTGTGGCGACTGTCAGTTGGGTCCCCACTTGAACAGACTTAACGCAGCACAGCCAATTCCAAGGCTTGTGTTTACACATCACAGGTTTTAACCACAAACCACGCACAGAGCTTACCTGCGTTCTGGGCTGACGCTCTCCTTTGAAGGATGCCTAATTAGCTCCCTGGCGATGGTTTCGCACTCACAGCTGCAAACTTTCATCTGCTCTTGCATTAGATACAGTACAGCTGCATTTGTTGGCAGCGTGGTGGTGGTGAATTCCCTTCTTCAAGAATGGACAGCAGCAGGGTGATCTTCAAGGTTTTTTTTTTTCCAATCATAACAATTCAATGATCTTTAAGGTCCCTTCCAACCCAAACCATTTCATGGTTTTACAAAACTGAAACTATGAAAGCCTGCTAGCAGGGATCCACAGGCACACATCGTCACAGCTTACACTAGCTGCCCCAAGTCAAAGAAACACCTCAGGGTGTCAGCCCGCTTCCACGTCAGGCACTTCTTTCCATCAGCCCCTTTCAGGCACAAGGCAGAGCTGCAGAACTGTCAATTTATCTCAAGGATGCAATTTGGGGAGGGAAGGAGGAAAAGGACAATTGAAAGGGGTGACCACACATCTGCTGTCACTACCAGGATGACTTCATGCAACCAAGCCCAGCAAAACAAAAGTGAATCACCAGCACAGCGACTTACAGGCATGGCGAAACCCTAACTCTCCGTGCCTGTGTCTGCGTCTCCCAATACCCCCACAATCCATCTGCTTCCACAGAAGTTTAGCTGAAAACTAAAAGAAAATACTCAGAAGATGCCTTCTTTACACCAAGGCTTGAGAAAAGTGGGGACCAGGTCTCAGATTTCATTATCAGGGACAGACGGGCAAGAGCAGGCAGGTAAACTGCAACCTGCGGGTACACTGCTCAGGTTTTTTCCCCTTCAAAAACCAACTTTGCTTCTCCCCACTGGGAAGTTGGGGATTTTTATTTTTTTTTTTGGAAGCAGGGGACACACGGGGCATCAGATCAGAGCCTCTCGGGAGCATCCAATTTCTTTCACAGCTAAGGCTCTGTAATTCAGAACAACTCAATTATTACTATTTTGCCTCAAGCTCTCATTTGATTTCACTGAGCAGCATTGCCTGTGATCGATCATTTTTTAAGGAGAGCTCTCGCTTTCTTTGCTCCCCAAAACCCAAAGTGTCATTCTCACCTCTGGCCACAGCACGGCACGCTGACAGCACACCGGTTTGGATTTCACCAGTGCCCGGGGAAGTCAAAGGGTCCTTTGGCTCTTTTCCCACCTCCTTTGCGCAGTCTCTGGTTTCAGCGTGCGCTGCCAGAAGATATTTCATGAAAAAGTGACCCTGCCGGCACTCCTGCTCTCCGGCTCCTAGGTGCTCACTCCTTCAGCCAAGTAAACCAACCATGCCAAGCAAGTGCAAAAATTGAAGTATGATTTTCAACCCCCAATCTCCATTCTCCTGCATGTAAATTTTAATATGTTTTAATTCTGCAGAAACAGGTATTAAAAGCTTGCAGCCAAAAGAAAGCACAAAACCATCTCTTAAGGGAGCAGCCTGAAGCACTGTGCAATGGGGAAAGCAAGACCAATGTCTTGATGACCCCTTCACAAACATGAGGCCAAGCAGAAGAGTTCAAGATGATCTGAATCCACGTGAAAGGGTCGATGGTCCCTCTTCTTACACCCACATCTGTAAGCAGGAGGGGGGGAAAAAAGGAAGGAAAAGACAAAAAAAAAAAAAAAGACTTCTAAAGAAAGTACAAGGCTGCACAAACACAGAGAAGCAGGCATACATAACGGCGTTTTTATTCATAACACCTTTAACTTGGACTGCAATTATTTCCTTTTTTAAAGTTAATTAGGGTAGTAATTGAGGGGAAAAAAACCAACAAAACAGTCCCTGTGTGCACGAACAATGCAGCTTTGAATAATACATGATAAGTTTATTTCATATTAACATGAACAGTAAAAAGTGGACATTTGACAGGATTTTACTTCAGGTCCTTTTCTTTATTCCTCTATTGTGTCCTTTTTACCAGTCTCTTGTCCCTCAAATTGTGGATACTTTGCCTCCACATCAGCCCAAGTTAGGTAACCGTTCGCCAGGTCACGAATGATGGCAGGAAGTTCAGAGATCTGCAGGCAAAGTCACAAAGACACATGAAACAGAGTCATCAGAATCAGGTTGGCTCCTTGGGGAACACAGGTAATTTTTACACCAGCAACAGAACAGGTGCAAGATCATTTCTGGGGAGAAAGAAAACCATTAAGCTAGGAGGACACCTTAAACCAGAGTCTGCTCAGTTACTCAGGGTGACCCGTGGGGGAAATGCAGCCGTCACTGCGGTGCACCGCAGCAAGGTTCATCCCTGGTTATGTTACAGTTTTGGAAGGGAAAAAAACAATACGGACATCCAAAAGATCCTGTAAGCCAGGATTTAGCCAGGGCTTATTTACTGTAAGACCAGCAAGGAAAAGCTGCCAAGTTGCAGCTGTGTTACAGCCGTACTGGCAGAGTAGGGAGGCAAGGGTTGCCCAGCTTTGCTCTGGTGCTGCACCAGGATCAAGCAAGTTTTAAGGAGTTCTGTCTGAGCTGTGGATTCAGAGGAGCCCTGCCTTTGAAAGCCACAGGAGCCAGCAAATGCATTTACTCAGCAGCCTTCACTCAGAGAGAGGCACTCCAAAAAGCAGAGCAATCAGCACAAGGCACGGCTTTCACGTAAGATCAACACCTCTGCACCCAGGAAAAACAAAAGTCTCTCCTCACTTTAGCAGCAGGGCCAACATCCTGTCTTTGAACAATCTCTCTTCCCTGGGGATTTCTCAGAATAGCTAAATTGCCTACAAGAGCTGAAGGCAGCTCCTGCATAAACCAGTCGTTGCTGATCAGGAATAGCAGCTAATAGGATCACAGAATACCAGGTTGGAAGGGACCTCGAGGTACATCTAGTCCAACCCTTTAAGGTAAAGAAATAATGCTCTCCCCCAGCACATAAGAACCAAACTTGGCTCTCTCAGCAGCCAAACCCAGCCGCCTTCCCTTACCTCGGCCCGGATCTGGCGCATTGAGTCACGGTCTCTCAGCGTGGCCGTGTGAGGCGTCCGGTTAACGGTGTCGAAGTCAATCGTGATGCCGAAGGCGACGCCGATCTCATCAGTCCTGGCATACCGCCGGCCAATGGAGCCGGAGGAATCGTCCACCTTGTGAGAGATGCCGTTCCTGGTGAGTGCTTCAGCTGCAAGAAGCAGAGAAGGGAAGGGGGGACCACCAGGACTCATTACAATCAGCAGACAACAAGACTCGAGCAGAGGCCTCCCACACCCACTTGCTCTCACCTGGAGAACAAAGCCACTGACTTCTTCAACCCCTCAGGGCAGTCCCTGAGTAACTCAAAGCCATGCCAGCCACACAGCTGTGCAGGGGCACATCCACCATGGGGAGGCAAGGTCCAGCTCAGAACTGATGCCGACAGCAAAAGGCATTGTCTGACAGGCAGCCCATGTTGCTATCCTACACGTAGTCGCTCTTAGATGGTACCAGCATGCATTTTGACAGAATACTTGGAGGCTCAGCAGCTCTGGGACCAATTCAATAAATCAGCTGGCCAATAAGATGAAGAACAGAACTTTATTCATAAAAAAACTAAAAAACTAACCCCAAAATCAAAACCACATTGCTCCTGACAGCTTCTCCTAAGCAGTGGAGAAAATTTTCTTTTTCACACAGGACAAAATGTCTTTTACACTGCGAGCCAACATAGGGAAGGGCAGGGAGTTAGATTTTTTTTGTGCCCAGATTGAAGAGCCTGATGGATACCCAATAGTGGGCTGATACCAACCTTCAGCTATTTTGGTTTGATGTTCTCTCCCTCTACACGTGTGAGAGTCACACAATCCCAATGATAGTTTCTCCCTAGAGCTCCAAGGAAGAAACCTCTCTTCCCAGAGCACATCCCCACCGGACCCACAGCACGTAATACACTTACATAATTCCTTGACAAAAGGCATGAATTCCTGATTCTGGCTTAGAGGAAGAACAGAGCACTTGAACGGTGCTACAACAGCTGGGAAGCTGAAGAACTAAGGAAAAAAAAGAGAAAGCACAAATAAATACAAGTTTATCAGCTAGGGCAGATTCTTAGAAGGTGAGAATAAGCTCTGACTGAGGTTGGAGGCAGGATAACTGTTCCAGGGCTGTAGCTGGTTTTCTCTAAGACGTTACCATTAAAGGCTCCAGCAGTAACACCTCACAGCAGTGAAGCAAATTGATTTTTCTCCACCTGCTCTTCACTCCCTCCTTCCCTCCTGACAGCCAAACACTACCTCCCACCCAAAGAAGCCCTCAGAGCCCTCCCTGAAGAAAGTGAACCTCATCTGAATTACAGAAAAAATAAAGGGTAGAGGGGTCTTTCCAAGAGATTTAGTGCTATGCACAGTCTAAAGGGAAGAGTTTTCACAAACATCTCGCTCCCTCATTTGATTCTCATGGAGACTCCACACACACAGCCCAAAGATTTTTCAGAATCCTCCACAGACACCCTCAGGAAAGAAAAATGTGCCAGAAAGGTGTGGAGGGGGGGACATTTTTCCTGGCAGTTAGCAAGGCCTGTAAAGGTACACAGAAGTAATGCAGCTGAGACGTACCACAATATCGAGCCGCCTGGGCAACACAGAAAGTAAAGGGGTACTAGAAGAAAGATAAGTCTAATTGTTTTAGACTTCATGAGCAGTTTGCTGTTGAAAGTCAACTGTGTCCTAATTCCGGGCTCCTGAATTCTGTTCCCCCCACTCGTAACTGTATCACATCCTGTGCCAACCAGAGACACTAAGGAATGCGGCTGTTTTTCTTTCCTAAAAACCACAGTCTAGTAGCCAGAAAAAAACAACAGGAACCAATGTCAAGTTTACAGCCAGCTTCCCGTGGGCCAGCAGCAATGGTGCAGAGCACCAAGGTTTGGGCACTGGCTGCAACAGGCTGGTGCTCTGTATTTAACACACATCTCCCTCTGGCCCCTGCTACAGCAAAACCGCAGGCCAAGATTTTAGGGATGCTCAGCATTAGAGAAGGCTGGATTTCATGCGGGACCGAGGAAACAGTTAGTCTATTGTCCATCTTGCTGCATAGAACTATCATTCCATGAAAAGCAGCAAAGAGAGAGGAAATAAAACGCTGAAGAGACGCCTTTCTCCGATCGATGGGTCGTTGCCAAGTGTAAATCCAGAAGGAGGAATTTCTCACCCCCTTGCCAGTAACTCAGCACGGGCCTCATGCACACATGGCCTCAGAAATGCTCTCAGTGTGCATGGATAAGCGACACGTACGCTGGCAAAAGCAGCAATTTAAAAGCCCACCTGGGCTTTCCCCATCTCTACTGTGTATTGTGCAGTCTTATTTCAGTCCTTCCCCTGGATGTCAGGGCAAGGCAAATGCTTGCAGCTGGACTTAAGCTGAGGCCCAGCCACAGGAAAGCTCACCGTCCTCTGCTCGTCTCCTTCCCGGATTTGGAACGTGTGTTCAAACACTGTGTACATGATCCTTCCAATACCAAAGGAGGGTTCAATAACATTTGGGATGATTTCTTCCACTGGAACATAAAAGAACCCGTGTCATCATTAAAGAAGAATTTATACACACATACACAAAAAAAGAAGTGTTTACTCAAGCTGCCTTTCTGCTCAGAAGCTCTGATTACATGTAGCTGAGCACATACAAATAAAAAAAATAAATATTTCTGCTCTAAATATAAATAGCTGAAGTTGAGATTTGGATTTAGTCCACGTACAGAATGCATTTAGGGCTGTAAATAACAAGTCGAGGCCCCTTCTCTGGCCCTGACTGCAAACAGCACAGCACAACTTGCATCACAGAATTACTGAGGCTGGAAAAGAC